ATGGGTGTTAAGCTAGCTAACGAAATTAAAATCCAAATAAAAAACAAAAGTGATTTTTTTAGGCTCATACAATTGAATAATAACGGGCTGGACCCACAGAGTAACCTATTTAAAATAACTAAGCTATAGAAAGTAAAACCCCCTCCGTCTATCTTCTCTCCTGCCATCTATTTTTTCAGGTGTAATTCCTCCTGATTTCCTGCTAAAGCCTTCTACTTTCATGGTGATTGCGTTTATCTCTTCTCGTGTGAGTGTCTTTGCTAATCTTTTGAATTTATGTTTTATTCACTTTTTACATTATACCATGATAATAAAACTAATTAGGTTTTTAGGCGGGATTCCCCTGTAAATTTCTGTAATTTTAGAATTTTCCTTCAGTTACGTGCACTGTCATTCGTATTATGTTCTTGATAATATAATTTCTGAAATACTCTGACGAGATTATTAGACTTGTAGAATATAACCACTCACACAGGTGGTGCAATAAGCAATTGGGGTTGCTTATAGTATACTAGAATTGATAATCATAATTGAATTTATGTCATATGAATATGATTATTTGTATACAGAGGATATCCCAATAAATGAATTGACTAAAAGTGTGATCAGGTCATCGTATTTTTTTTGGTTTTTTTATTTTTATATTTTTTGTGTAAATGCTTGCAATTTTATTACCTGTGTTGGATTTACTCTTATTTTTTTGGTTACGTTACCAGTTGTAGTTGATGAATCAAGAATACGATGTGCATCTTATAGAAAACTTGTATGTTCTTCTAGTGAAAAATTTAGGGATTAGTTGTGATTTTGTAAAAATTTAGTAACTTTAGTTTGGTGTTTTATACTAATCTATCGAAGAACTCTATTGCATTAATATAAAATATTTATGTAAAGAAGTGACAAACAAAACTTAAAGTGTACGTTCGGTTTTATTCAACAAACATTCTTTCGACGGTTTTATTCAACAAACATTCTTTCGAAGATCTTGAATAGTATAAAAGATGGTTTGATATGTCATTACTACTAGTGATGAAGCTCTACTCTCTTAAACACTTCTTCCAAAATTTTTAATTGCATCTTATTATTGCTGATTTTTTTTTTAATTATCTCCTTGGAAAAACACAGAATTACATGATGCCTGATTATCTATTCCATGAGTTGATTTTTTACATATTTACAAGACTACCCCCGAAATCCCTCCTCCGATTTAGATCACTCTCCAAACCATGGTATTCTTGTATTTCTAGCCCCGGTTTCATCCGCATGCACGCTTCTTGATCCCCACAAAAAATCCTCATCAGACATAAGATCTGGCATGGATAGTTGGCGCCTAAAGAAAGGATTTTATACATTACATTCAGAAGATCGGTTGCCATTATGTCCGAGAAGTGCATACATGGATATATATAGTAGACATTCCTATACTGTTGGTTCATGTAATGGAATTCTCTGTGTGCTTGATCGTGAACAAAATATTAGTCTATGGAATCCTTCAATTGTGCTCCAATTGGCTGTGCCTGCTCCTCGGAGATGGTCTTCTTCTTGGGTAATGTACGGGTTTGGTTTCGACCCAATTACTGATGATTATTGATTACAAGATTGTGACTATATCCTTATCCAAAGAAAATAAAGGAAATGTAAAAAGTTCATTTGTGTACTCCATGAAAACAGGCACTTGGTGTGCGATTGCTTCCCTTGTTCCTTTGTTTTCTTATGTGGCTTCAAAGGGGTATCTTGTCAATGGAGCATTGCATTGGGTGGTAGAACGTTATCTTAAGGAATCAGATGACGTAGACCGGTTTTATATATTGACATTTGATTTGAGCACTCATGTTTTTGGGACGATTGCGCTGCCACAACCAAATTACAAAATTCCAAAACTAACAAGGATCGATGCTTCTCTTTCTCTAGGTGTGATTTCTATGGTTGATGATGATAACATTTGGATTTGGGAGAAAAAAGATGCTTCTCGGTCCCTAGTTTTTAAATTGAAAACCGATAAATTTCGGGGAGGCATAATGGGAGTTTTGCAACCGAGCAACAATGGTAATATGTTGTTCTATGATTGGCGCCGAGTTTATAATCCTAAGATAGAGGTGCAATCAAGACTAGTGGACTTCAATGCTTCTTCTTACATAGATGACATAGAAATGTATGTCGAAAGCCTTCATTTGTTAGACATGGAGTCTGCTTGCAAGAGTAACCACCTATCACTTTTAGGAAGAAAGAACTGAAGCAAAATTTCACAATTGATATATGATGAATATTCGGTTTTGAAATGTTTATTTATCCATGTGCATATCAGGATCATAACTACATTTCTCTGACTTTCATCAACTAATTTTAGGCAATTAATAGTATAACCCTATAACATTGATCCACATGTATATATATTATCCTTTTATATTACACTTTTTTTAAAAAGTTTAAAAAAAATATATTTGAAAAATTAAAATGACACTTCTGGTTTCTCATTTGAAAAATCCAAAAACCATTCAAAATTTTGAAATCCCCAAAAAAAAATAGTTAAAAAAAAAAATCAAAACCCTTTTACGAGGTATACATCTGCGCCGTTAAGCTCTTTGTTGACACCCCCATCTCTTCTGCTCTTGGCCTTTCGACCTTTCACAAGTCGAGTCTCCTTAGAGTAGATATTCCTATATTGATGGTTCATGTAATGGAATTCTCTGTGTGTTTGATCATGAATTAGTCTATGAAATCCTTCAATTGCGCTTCAACTCACTGTGGCTTCAGCTGAGAGATGCTCTTCTTGTCAGGTATTGTGTGGGTTTGGTTTGGACAAAATCATTGATGATTACAAGATTGTGAGTATATCCTACTTCCACCCCAAAGAAAATAAAGGAAATGTAGAAAGTTCATTTGTGTACACCATGAAAACAGGCACTTGTGTACGATTGCTTCCTCTATTCCTTTGTTTTCTTATGTGGTTTCAAAGGTGTGTTTTGTCAGTGGAGAATTGCATGAACATTATCTTAATGAATCAGATGACGTAGCAGACCGGATTTATATACTGGATTTATATACTAACGTTTGATTTGAGCACTCATGTTGTTGGGACGATTGAGTTGCCACAATTAAGTTACAAAACTATAAAACCAACAAGGATCGAGGGTTCTCTTTCTCTAGGTGTGATTTCTATGGTCGATGATGATAACATTTGGATTTGGGAGAAAAGAGAAGTATTGTGTCGATGTATAACAAATTATGGGGATTTGGATTGAGAGAGAATCATAGGTTATAATTAGTAATGATTTTTTTTAAATAAAGCAACAAAAAATGAACTAATACGATAGATAAGGGTAGAAAAGGAAATCTCTATTTTATGTAAGCAGGCAAGTCCTATATATTAGGAATACCCAACTTCATTCTCACTGCAGGTAATTTATAATTGGGGTTTTTATAATTGATAATATTTAATGATTCTAAAGAATCATCAAAGAATGGGACTTTTAATTCGTCTAAGAATAAGAATTTCAGTAATTTAGAGTTTTATATTCTCAAAGTATTCTGTTTTCATGCTCGCAAGAATAAGAATTTGAATTCTTTTAAGAATGGGGTTTTCGTATAAAAGAAATCGACCATTAAAAGGAATAATATTTAATTCTTGAACTATGTTTCTTTCACAAAATATAAAACAAAGGACGATGCCTACAAAATACATTTTTAAGCAAAATTAAGATTGAAATTAAAATAAAGTCATGATCTGTTTTGGAAATTAAAGGCATGATTTTTAGAAATAATGGTTTCCTTGTAATTAAAAAAGAAAGACGTTTCCTTCTTAAAATTAGGGAAAAGGACCATACATTTTAATTTAATTTCTCAAATTGTAACCGTGATTATAATTGAGGAGATCTTCTCCTTCCTAAAATAAAGGCATGATTTTTTTGCAAATAAAAATTAAAATACAAGTCAACAATCCATAAATATTACTATCTATCAGACATGTTACCAGAAATTAAGACACTGATAAAAATTCAAACGTGATGACTAATCCTTATCGGCTTATCCCATATGAGTATATGACTACTTACCGAATTTTAAATGTTTACAATTAATAAAACTTAAAGTGGAAATATATTGAGCTAACAGTTGACTAATTCAACATCACAGATAAGGTTCAAACAAATAACGAGATGATATGAGATTTAAAATTTAAATTTCTAATGTGAAGACAAATTCTTATCACATGCACGTATATGACTAATCTTAGAATTTCTAATGACTTATTTTCCACCTTATAAAACATCAAATTTTATCTCATATACTTTTTCTCCTTTCTACCCTCAAACAGCCAAAACCACTCACAGTGAGACTGCGGTCTACCACCTCTGCTTCTACCTTCTCTCCCTCTCTTAATAATACACAACCAATCATGAGTTCAAGTAAATTTGTAAAGAATCTCAACTTTTCATTTTTGATTCTAATTGATATCATTTATGCTAACATTATTCTTATTGATAATCGTTTATATATAGTAAATTATTTGCGTGAAATTAATCGTCTTTAAAAACTAATTTCTTAAAGAAATTACTAGCATCCGTCGCTTAGCACGGGTAAACGGCTAGTGTATATATATATATATATATATATATATATATATATATATATATATATATTTTGATGAATTTTAAGAGTTACTAGCTTTAATGCAATATTTACAATCATTTAATGCACTAGAAAACACTGAATCTTATATGGTCAACAGATTATTGAATTAAGCACGTTTTGACGTTTTGAATTGGTCTCCGTTCTCATCTTCAAATTGAAGTGGTCAAAGAAGATGAATGGGTATTGCAATAGCTGACTATTGAGTTGAGTTCTTATACAGCCCGTGATTTAATGGATTGATCAATACCAAACTCCCCTTAATCTCGACCATATCTCCTTTATCCTGGAACCCTCCTATATTTTACGATCCTCCAATTTCATCAGCCTCCCCTTCACAATCAATTGACCGAAGATTTTCACCATCACAACCACTCATGCCATCTCCAACCTCTGTCAACCACCACCGCCTGAAACCACTTTACCGAGAAGCACCGACCACCAAATGGTCACCCATATACCCCAAACACCATCGTCAGCCAAGAACAAACACCGCCACCATTAAGCTTCCACTGCTATCAACGAAGACAACCAACAGACACCCCTCTCCAACTGTCGACCAACCACCAAATGGTCGCCCATATACCCCAAACACCATCGTCAGCCAAGAACAAGCACCGCCACCATTGAGCTTCCACTACTATCAACGAAGACAACCAACAGATACCCTTCTCCAACTGTCGACCAACCTCGCACCACCACTTCGGTGAACCCGCGCCATCGAATTTCTGATTTCATGCTTGACTGGTACACCATATATTCTCGCCTTTTATTATTCCTGTGTTCTCTTCGATTAGGATTTCCCGGTCTAGGGTTTTTATTCATCAGCATTGGTGGGTTTGATCTCTCTCCAAAAACCATCATTTTTGTACTTCCATGTTATAAATGTATGCAATTTTTGGGTACCCTATTCAACAGAGAATTGGTTTTATGTATCAGATGATTCTAACTCAATGAAAATCATATATGAAGATGACCATCGTGTAAATGTGGGGTAACGTTAGGGCTTTAGTGATATGATTTATTTGTGGATTGTTTTTTTATGTTGTTTCTTTCTGCTTCAGTAAAAAATGGAATGAAGCCTCTTCATAGAGAAAACGATAAAACCACACAGCCACCAGCTCTTCCCAGTAATCTGAATTGAAAAAGATGAGTCAATTACATAACTCATTCTTAAATTCTTCTAATTAGACGCCTCTTTACAGAACCTTGACCATCTCTTTGAAGATAAATTCACTCTCCAACAAAACTGCCACTCTTCCTGGCACCACTCTGGTTCTCCCCGACCATCACCAACACCAGCCACTGTAGATGAAACACATTTCTTGATTATACGATTTGTGGGTTTATATGAAATGAAGTTGATTTTTTTATTATGAAATTACTGGAACTATGAGGGAAATGACTCAATTATATGAACGTGAAAGGTCTCCCAATCTGCAGCTAAAAGGGTTTCGAGTTCAAGCTCCATTGGTGAGGCTATCTCTTTGAATTTTTCTTGCTTATTGTTACTGTATAGATGTTACCCACATCAAATTATCTCAAAATCAATAGCTTTTTTTAAACAATTATTGACATTATATTTATTAAATTTCTTGGGTTTTGATTATATACATCATATTCGAGTAGTTTAGAAGTATACAGAAATACCCAGATGTTGATTTTAGATTAATTCATGTTTTGTTTGTTTAATTTTACTTTGGTATCAAAAATAGATCCACAACAAGCGATACTTAAGGATCTCAGGGTCAGCCTCCTCTCTCACGCTCTCTCTCTCTCACACACACACACACACATTTTGGTTATAAATCACATATCCATAGTTTGGGTTTTTTGCTCTTAACTTTGTTTTTCATTCTCTTATGCAGGTCATATGAATAAAAAATGGGGGTTGAATTGTGATCTCTGGACTGAACTAACCTTTGTCACTCTCTTCATCTCTCCCTCTCTCTCTCACACAAAGGTTTCTTTTTGGTTTTCTAAATTGCTTTTATGCTTACCTGCATGTTTGATTTATGATATAGGTTAGCACAAGTAGATGTGCAGATGGTGGATAAAGTGTTTCTTGGTCTACAGAGAGGAATATTGATTTATGGTATTAAGTACTACACAAGTTGATAATGGCTCTTCTCCTTAATATATTAATATATTAATTGATACTTTTATCTAAATCGAATATGATCATTATTAACCATGATAGTAGTTATTTGCTTATTTTTTAGAAGTCCCCATCTTTTACTTTTTAATTGATAAATCATAAAAGATGAGAAACCTCCTGTTGATTTTGGGTAAAGATAATCTTAGTAGCTTGAACTAATTCTCAATCCATTGCAGCACCGATGACTACTTATGATGAAGTTGAGGTTATTTTTCTTCTTTGCATCCTGATGATAATCATACTAATATATAAATTTTATGTTTGTGAAGGTAGAAAACCTCTGTTTGGGTCTTAGCGATATAAAATATGGTATATCATAAGCAACAATGTTAGTTGTTAGTTAGATATTAAAACATGGTATCTTATTAGAGTGACATTTTTTATGTAGGGTGAACAAATCTTTAACAAATTTGGGGTGGCCCGGAAAGAACTCTACCATGGAAAGAGTTACATACTTCTTGAAGATGTGCATGTTCATATACAAGAATCCATTCAATTAAACTTGGTCATGTATGCTTTTAACTGGTAGGTCATTTTCATGACATTATGATTCTGAATAAATCCAGTCAATTGTTGTAGGTCAAACTTTACACATGTGTCTTGATTATCTCTCCCATCGCCTTAAACATATGACTGGTCTTTTATGTGAATTTTGCCTACCATGTGTTTTTAAAAGGTCCCAAGTCATATCAATGTAAACTTCTTAAAATCTTATATGTTGTAAATATGCAGATGAGTTTGCAGCTGCATAGATAAGGAAAAAGTGGTTGAGCATCTACCACTTTGTCACTTACATGGTTATTGTGTGATAGAGTAGTGACTTCTTCGTTGATGCAACAACCTCCAATCGAGGCTTCCAACCCTTTTTGGTAAAAGATATCAAAACCCACAACCTACTACTTTTTCTTACTACATTTCTATTTCTATTTTGGAATTTAAATGTTTTAAAGATTTTTGTTTTTAGGGTTTTGACGAATCATGATGGCTAAAAAGAGGTTATATTAAAAAATCATGTTTTCAGAGGTAATAGTTTGCTTCAACCTTTTTTGATTATAAGGTTTGTTTGTTTCATTATCATGCTTAAAGGTTTGGATTTCTTGAAAATAAAGGTTTTGTTGCTTAGTTTCTTGTTTAAAGCTTTTGATTTAATGTTTTTATTTCGTAAATATAGTAAATAGAATGCCTAAGTTTTTTTTTTTCAAAAATTCTTTTTTCATAATCCATCAGATGTGTTTCTCAAAGAGGTGAAGATTTATAAACATCTTTGAATTTTGTTATTTGGAACTTACAGGGGTATTTTATCTCATGGAGGTCTAACTATCATTTTTGCATTTGGTATACAATTTTTTTATGTTGACTTGGATATCTATTTCATATATATTCTCTAGAATGCAAACATAAAGACTCCAGTTACATCATCCAAAGCCAATTTTGATGAAGCATGTTTAGCTTATGTTTCTTTCAATATCTCCCTCTTTCTCGATGTGTATGTACAAATGTTATGCAGGTCTTAGTATGTATAATCATGTTTTGGGTTGCTGTTTTGGTTGAGATTTAAGCTGCTATGAATGAAAATGTGAGCTCAAAATCCTCAAAAAAAGAGCTGAAATGATCAAAATCCTCTCAAGTGGATTGTTGTACTTTTCACACTTCACTAGAGAAGAGACTTTATTGTTCATCGCTACTAAAAAAATTGTAACGCCATAAATTATAATTATAATGGTTGAGATGGACACAAAAGTTGATCTTGATGTTTTATGCACATGTATTTTAGTTTTCTTGAACTAATGGAGCTCTTGAAAGTATTTTTAAAGTAATAATAAAAAGCTAAGCATTGGTGTCCTAGGTTGAAAAAATCATATGTTCTGTATCACAATGATACGAGTGCAATAGTTTTGATGTATTTTGACATTAATTTTCGTAAATGACTAATTAGTAACAACAAAAAAGGTTTCCGTCAGAATGATATGAGTAACATTGAGCTTGGTTGATGTATGAGTGATTTAATATATGTCAATTTGTATGATGAACTTTATTTAACTGTGGCATTTTTTTTGTCGACATAAATTTATTGTTTGGATTTTAATGTTTATTTCGTGTATGCAATTTTTTTTGGAAATGACATAATTTGATGACTTATGGGGATGTACAATATCTTGGAGATAAATCGTAATCAAATCAATAAATTATAAACTTCAAAATATCAACTAAAATTTTGCCATAAAATAAACACATAACATCAAAATAAAAACTAAATGACAACATAATAACAAAGTGAATAACCAACATAAATCATAATTATATTTAAAAAAACGAAGATTTAATCGGGTTTGTAATCAATAATGTACATTTAATCGGGCTTGTAATCAATTAATCGCCTCTAGAAACAAATTATGAAAAAAACTATTCGTACCCGTCGCTTGGCGCGGGTAAACGGCTAGTGTGTATATATATATATATATATATATATATATATATATATATATATATATATATATATATATATATATATATTACTTATTATGCAAATTTGGTCAAAGGCTGAATTTTAAGAGGTATAAGGCTTTATGCGATATGTACAATAATTTTATGCATTAAAATGAGTACCGAAGCTTATCTGGTCAACATTTACTCAATGCATTTTTTTTACTCGGTCTCCTTTAATCTCGGATATTTGGTGATCTAAATAAACGATTCTACAACTTCCCTGTATATCAGATCCTTTATACCTTCTTTTTTCTGGCTCTCACGCACTTTTCTGTTTAAAATTTTGAAATCTTTCCTCTCTATAAAATACTCCCCTTCTCTCTACCATCTCTCATTCTGTTTAACCCAAATTAGCCGTCAGGCCACACCAGCTCCACAACCTCACATTATCCAAGGAGCACACACTTCGTTATCATGTGATAGACTCATTCAAGGTGCGAGACTCATTCAAAGCTATTATTAACTTAATATACAACTGCTAAAACCCAGCATCACCTTCGTCGCTTCACATTGTTCCTTTGATTGCAGGTATAGTCGTACTCTGTAAAAATCTTAGACTCACAAAACCTAGCCGTCGTCCCACGATCAAACCCTCCCCCTCTTACACCCTCGCTCTCTCCTTTTCTAACCCTAACACCAACCACTATCTTCTTCTCCATCAGGAAACGCATACCCTCCTCCATCATCCACCTACACACCTGTTGGTATTCGAATATTTATTCAAGGTATGTCAGGAAGTTAATCTCTTTTGTTCTCCCGCCACTTTCATTTTTCAGCGTCTTCTTTCTCCATCGGCCACATACACACCTGTTTCTACGATTGCAGACATGATTCATCATCTCATTCCACTGATTACAAACATATAAAACTCCTGGAACGCCTCTGCCATTTGTCATCATCACCGACCTCCTTCGACCGTTTCAACCACAACCTAGAAATCGACTGTAAGAGTTTAACCTATAAAACACTTTAATTTAGTTATAATATTGATGTTGTTTCATGTGCATGATAGGATGAGGGATTTTGGGTTTAGAAAGAACCCCCCTGTACCCTCAACCCACATAATCTTCTCACATTTCTCATAAACAAGCCCTAAAGGTATCCATTTTATTACTTATTTTCATATTTTGCTTAAATTATTGTAGATAAAGAGTCATATTTTTGTATTTTTTTTCTTACAATTCTAAATTACAGTGGTGTTCCTATTTTCATTTTTGTTCTTACAATTCTAAATTAATTGTATCATTTTAATTCATCTGGTTCTTTGAGATCTAATTATGTAATACCCTTTGAGAATACTAACTATTGCAATTTGTGTGCTCCATATGCACAGAAACATAAAATACAAAAACAAATGAAATCCTAGAATGACAAGCCATAAGGGACGTATGAGCAACTTTTCTCCTAATTACAACACTGGAAGAGGTATGCTTATCAACTAATGTTGTTGACTTAAAGTTTTTATGATATAGAAGAAAATTTCCAGAAACGGAAAACTTTGTGTGTTTAAACTAAAATGAAAATGTGATATTAAACCCAGGGGGTTCGGTTATTGGTGAGAACTCATGGACTCAAAAAGACATTCTTACCTTCTGCATTATCTTCAAGATAAAGGATATATGACTTCATTTTTTCATTTTTGATTTCGTTAAGTTTAATATTGACCTATATAATCTAATTTATTACATTATTGAGTTAGATATACACTCCCTTTTTTGTATGTTTTTTCTTATATCAAGCTGCACCAAAAGTGTAATTAAAAAACAAGTAGGGTAGGGGTGCTATTTAACTTCTATTTATGCGTTTTCACTATTTATAGTTTTATTTTCTTATAAGTCAATAGTTTTTTTAGGTGAATACAAGTGGAAATATGCAATATGTTGGTGTGGCTGAGGGTCGACATAGGAGAAGTTTGCTGGTGATTTAACATTTAATTGGCATGGCATAAACACACTTTATTTCTGTTTAGCTATACTTGATTAATTTATTAATGACTTTGGTAGATTCCACCATTCCACATATATACAAAGATGAAATGTGTATGTGTTTATTAGAATAACTTTTTTGGTATTTTTTTGGTGATTTTTAGTGGTAAAAAAAATGAAAAATATTCAAGAGATTTTGACCATTTTGATCTTTTTGAAACAAGAAATTGTCGAAAATGGTCATTTTTTATTTCCTAAAAACGATCAACACGAAACGGTAAGATGATCATTGTAAACGGACCATTTTTAACTGAAAACTGCTTTCGACTTTTTGACCATTTTGGTTATTTTTAACAAACCTGCATTAGAAACTAGACAAACAAAATGGTCATTTTATACAGCAAAATGATAATTTAAAACAGTACAGGAAATAGTTTGCTAAATATGTTGATCCGTTTTAAACAGGGACCATTTTAAACACCAAAATGGTTGGTATTTGTTTGTTTATAAAATTTGGATTAAAGAAAAAGCAATGTCCTTTTGATTAGAAAGAGCAATGTACTTTCATGTGTGGCTGTATGTATGTATATGTGGTTTTCTATGTGTATGTAAAAGTACAATGTTGTATTAGACTAAGATTTCAAAGTATGTTGCTTTATCAAGATAAGTAATGTAAGCATGTTGCTATTATTTTAGTGAAAATGACCATTTTCCCTTTTTAAGCCAATTTGATGATTTTGACTACTTTTGGTTGTTGTTTTTGCATCTAATAGCATCCTACTTTTGTTATTATTAGTTTTTTCAGTTTTGGTACGGGGAAAAATGTTACTAATGATGTCCATGGTTAAAATTTATTACAGAAATGGTCCAGTGGTGCTTTTTTGGAAGACTCTGTTAGGCCCTTTGCTGTCATTTTTTTCGTGCTTTATGGTTGTTAACCATTTTGCCCTTGGTGCTTGCTTGGCTTCTTCCTTGTGAATTGTTTATTGATTGCCATTGGTTTTGATTGTGTACATTGCTTTCATTTCTTTTATATGCATTGTACTTTGAATACCTTTCCTATTACAACATTGTACTTTTGAAATATTATGGTTTAATAAGGAAAAATTTTAAAAAAAAATGAAAAAAAAATGTTATGTTCTAGAAAAAAATGAAAGTACATCGCTATTTCTTGCATTTAGCCTAATTAGTTGCTAAATACAAGAATTATCAATGTACTTTGATTGGTTTGTCAAATATAACATCATACTTTCATTTTTATTATTAACCTTTTGAATTGTAAATTTTTCCCTCTTAATCATTTTGTTAGTGAAAAACAAAAAATATAATTAGTATGCATATGTTGCATGAATATTTTCTGAAATTAAAGTATGATGTTATATGAGACAAACAAATGGAAGTACATTGATATATCTTGCATTTACCATTTGATTTGGCTAAATGTAATAAATAGAAATGTACTTTCATTTGTTTTCTATTTATAGCATTAGCATCTAACTTTCATGTCTAATTCTAACTTTTTTTCCTTTTCTTTTCTTATTTAAGCATTGTACTTTAAATGTAGAATCGTTTAATAGGAAAAAAATCATAAATTTTAAAAAGTTAAGCAATTAAATGAAAATATGATGCTAGATTAGACAAAAAAAAATTGCAAGTGCATTTCTATATTACTTTTTTTTATATATATATTTCAATGGATTACAATTGATAATGTTATTTGCTAAAAAAAGATATGAGGGTTTATGACACAAATGATATAAAGGGGAACACAAATTCATGAACATAAGAATTTTTGTTACAAATATATTTTGTTTGTGGTGAAATAACTTTATTTATAAATATAGTTCAATATTTAAAAAAAAAAGTAAAAAGCTACTATGATTCAAATTTACAATATTTAACTCACACATTCATCTAAACGCATTAACCATATTAACAATTAATAATTAAATAATACATGTGTTATATGTAGAATATATATATTAAAAATTTATGACCATACCACTAATAACCATATCACTAATTCAAAACATCAAAACCCAAAATCCATAAAAAAAAAAAAACTATATGTCGGAAGAGCATACAAATATGTATATACCTAATAGATACATTTTAGTAAATATTTTTCAATAAGTTGTTTTGAATAAGAAATGTTCCTGAAAGGAAACTAATCGCCGAAAAAGAAACTATTTGTTGAACTCCAAAATTAATCATCGAATAGAAACTAGTTGTCGTCCGACGCTTTGATTATATTTATCTTTTCACCATTTAACATTTGAATTGAGTTTTTAATCAACAATGCACATTTATATAAAAAACAACAATGTATATTAATTTTTAATATAGAACAATATTTCTTTTAACAAAAAACATCAACATACTTCTATTTTCAATCCAAAACATCAGACAAATAGGGAAATTCCGAATGAAAAATAAACACCGAAAAAACGAAGATTTAATCTTTGTTTGTTAACAACAATATACATTTATATACAAAAGAACAATTTATATTTATTTTTAATCCCTAACAACATTTTCTTTTCTAAACTATTTTCGTAAAAGAACAAATCGTCTTTAGAAACTATTTTCTTATAAAGAGTTTATAAGTGTGGGCCCCACCAATTTTATAAAGAGTTTATATATATATATATATATATATATATACCATCTTATAAAGAGTTTATAAGTGTGGGTCCCACCAATTTTAAGACATCTATCTTAAAATACAAGGAGAGCAATTGTGGACCATTGGATGTCAAATGGATGGTGATGATTCTTCTAATCCTAATCCTAATCCTAATCGTAGTGAAATGGTTTTAACCAATAGAATTTATGACACGAAAGATACAAACAACTTATCCTACCCCACCTTCTTCACATCTCCAAGGCGGGCAATTTAAATCTTTTTGAAATCAAATTTTCACACATCGGGAACCAAAAAGGGGTTTCTTTCTCAACCCTAGCCGCTATCAATCTCTCCTTCACTACATCCTCTGTTGAACCACCATCAGATCCTTCGCTCATTGGTCATGTATGGTTCTTGGAGGGTCCGATTCAGGTAAGAATCCTCTTATTGATTTCCTCTACGCGTCTCTTTCTCTCTCTCTCTCTCTCTCTCTCTCTCTCTCTCTCTCTCTCTCTCTCTCTAAAAACACTGATTATCTCGAATCGTTCAGGTTATCATCTAAAATCTACCCCGCCTACGCAACGGTTATGGTGGATTTAGAGATATATTACACCCCAACAACGATTAGACACCACTGCATCAGTCGACTCCTTATTCTTACTTCTTATTTGTTCGCATCCTCAGTTGGAATCGAAAATCAAAACGCCCAGATCTGGAGTTGTTAGATGCGACACACCAAATGCTAGAGCTTCAAGATTTTATTTATCTCTCCCGTTTTTTTAAATATGTTCAATTTTGTTTCTGATTTTTTTTGTTTATTTTATAACATAAGCATGCTCGGATTTTCGTTGTTGCAGATATATCAACAAAGTGTTTTCATTGCTCTACTACTCCAGGTAATATTTTTGACCTAGACACGGTTTGATAGGGTTTTCCATGCCCTTTAGTCACCATCATTTATCATCGTCAACATCGTCAACGATTTTAGAGTTTTTGGATTTAAACAAAGAAACGATGTACAGCCTGAAATAGAATGATATACGGTAAGCTTCAACATGATGATGATGTTTAATGTATGTGTTCTTATGGATGTGTTTTCTTCTCCAGATCACACACATACACACCTCTGTAACCGCCGTTTACAGCCACCACCACACGCTCTCGATGCTAGAATCTCGCCATCAGGTACTCCAAAAGCAATTTATGTGTGTGAACAATTTTTTTTTGTGGCTTTGTAGTTTCTCTAATGAAGTTTGTGTGGGTTTTTGGGAAGAGCATCAAGATCCAAACACACACAGACACATTTTCTTTGATTTTACATCCATTAACTACTAAAAAATCGTTTTAATGTTTGGTTATACTAATCATGTAGGAAATGGAGTAAATTATGATTTGATTCAAAAGGAAAAGGTATGATGAAGACATATTTCTCTGTATCCTCTCTCTTACTCTATGTGTGTAAACCCATACGGTAATCATTTGTCCCTTGGTTGCAGATGGTGACAAACAAGAACAGGGGAAGTACATTTTCAATGTACATATGCGTGCTTAAAACTACATTTAATGCAGAAACTATCCTAGAAACCTCCCTTAATTATGTTTCTTCTTTTTCTTTGTCAAAGAAGTTTGTGTTATTGATTTCTCTTTCTGGTATGCGTTCACAGACACACACATATACACCTAGATCTAACCACACACATTTCTCCTTCTATTTGCAGGTTAAGTTCAACCATGATCTAAGATATCTGTCTTTCCTGATTTTTGTGGCTATTAAACCCTAATCCATGGTCTCAGGTAAAAACAATTCCATTTCTTTTAGATTGTGGTAAAAGTTTTGCTTCAATGAACATCAACATTTATTTCGGGTTGTGGTAAAACCAATTCCATTTCTTTTAGATTGTGGTAAAAGATACGTGTCTTTCCTGATTTATCAAACTTGTGTTTCAGGTTGTGGTTTTCAGGTGTTTGATCCATTCAGAGCTCCCTGGTATCGAAGAAACAACTGATTTTTTTTAAAAGTTTTTAAACAATAAATATCCTGGTAAGACATTTTTACTTCTTTTTTGTTTTTCTTGACATAAATGATAATATATATCATACCAAAATAGTTTTTGTGTTTAGGTAAGATAAACATCAGATAAGATCTGTGATGCAACCATCACATTATAATTTTTGATGTTGGGCATGTTCTGAACAAGAGAAAGACACTACCAAAATCTCAATATGATACTTTTACATATAATAAGTAATATGCAAAGAACTTACACTTTTGTGGGTGTTTTTACAGAATCCATGTTATGTCTCAATCTCAAGAACGTGTTGAAGATGACAAACCTACCTGGTAATTGTATCTGATTTTTTTTGTTTCTTTTCCTTTTTGTAACTTTTGATTCATGAAAAGGGTATTTATGTCTTTTCACCAATGTGAGCAGATAGACAAACCATGGAACCCGGATAATAAATTTTAATGAGAATCAAGTTAGGGTGGTCTTTGATCGGTTGTAGTTGGGTATGCATTTTTTGTATAATATTGGCAAGCAAGTAATTAGTGATGTAGCCGTTATGTGTTATAGCACATTTTGTTAATTATCTTTGCTTGTGATAATAATCTTACTCATGGTTGTGCATTGATTTATGTAAATACACAAACCAAAATTTATTGTCATGTAATCTTAATATTCTTACTCATGTATGAGAAATGTTGAATGTATGGCAACAATAATGATTTTTATTTATATATGAGAAATGATGAAAATAGAGCAGTAGGTTTTCTTGAAGAAACCAATAACAAAATAAAACTATAAGAAAGCTTAAAGTTAATCTTAGTATTTATATATCTATCAAGATTTTTACTTTGTAAGTAAATAATATTGTAACTATCATAACTTGGGAATCAGCAATCATGTAAAACAAGATATGTAAAAAAGCTTTTAGTTGAACGTGATTATATTAAGCAAAACTAAATTATATTTGAATCGACTCGCAAATAAAAAAAACACGGAGTGGCTGGTTGTTTTCAACGACACTTTATGGCACCGATAAAGGGACCAAATTGTATTAAAATGTGACATGCTTTCTAATGAAAAATAATAAAAAATTGACATTTTTTGCCACCTAAAAAGGAACTATTAGTCAAGAAAAATGAAGAAATTAACTATATAGACACACAAATTGCAAGTAACGCATATTAGTATTTGATATATATGGATAAAATTTGGAAGTTGTTTAAGAATAATATTTTAGCTTTGATTACTATATTTTAATATTCAAATCTTATATTTAGAGATTTTTTAAAGATAATCTAAATCAAAAATTTTTGTGACTATTGGTCTCCATTTCGGACTACTGGACATAGTTTGGTGGGTCACTTTGGCCCTGCAACCCCAATTTGTGATCATAATCCAATCATTTGTGTGGTTGCGTCGTGGGAAAATCATACCATGTTTTTAGCTTCGCTCTTCCACCTTCCACCTCGAGTCAGCCTTTATTCATTGATTTTGAATCCAAACTTCACCTTTTGATCCGACCTCCAGCCATCGACCTTTAGTCCAACACTTCGTCTTTGAAAACACGTTATCTGACCTGCATCTCTAAGCCCTTATTAGACAAAAACAAGTATAAAACAATCATGGGCTGGTTGTGATAGGACTAGCCTTCATGACACTAGAGGTCTAAAGGTTTTCTTCCATAAATATACTTAATTTATAAAAATGTAACCTAAAAGGCAGAAACGAACTATCTGACACAAAAAAAAAACAAATCGCAACATGAAAATAATCTGCCGAAAGAAATTATCTGGCGCCGCCGCATCTCGCGGGTACCTTACTAGTATATATATATATATATATATATATATATATATATATATATATATATATATATATATATATATATATATCTTACTATATTATTATACAAACCTTACTATTTCTAAAAATACATTTAAGACGTCCAAATATTTAAGCTTAAAGTACAAGAAACTATTGCATAATAACAATCATAATTCAAATACGGTAAGATTTAAGCTGAAAAACTAAGTCAAATTTGACTTCCCTAAATGTTTGCTTAAAGTATGGGATTTGAACGGGTCAATGTTAATCGATATTCACTGGCCTCTTAGCAATCTATTTAAAAACACTAATAACACCCATTTCAAATTTACTAGCCTCCTTTTCTTTCTCCCTCCCCTTGTTCGTGTTCTCTCTAAAAAATCAGGGCGAAGGTATGTAATGCCCATTCCTGGTACGCATTTTTATTATTATACTTCTTGTTTTAGAAGCTACTCGGCGAGTCAGTAGCCCTAACTCGTCGAGTAGCAGCGGGTCTGCACGTGGACTTAGCGTGGAAACTCGACGAGTCTGTTATTCCCGACTCGGCGAGTCCGCCAGTCTGGATAAAACCCTAATTCTGAGGGCTTGTACCCTATTTAAACACCCTTATAGCTCCCATCCCAGCCTCCAGCACCTCTAAAGCGTTCCCCCTCGAAACCCTAATCCTCCATTGGTGAATTTGAGTGATTCCATCCTATTTTGAGTGATTTTGTGTTTTCTTGAAGTGGTAGAGAAGAAGGAAAGAGAGAAGGTTCAAAGGAGAAGAAGTAGATCCAGAAGCTAACCCTCTTTTGCTACACTTTCTGGTAATCAAGCTTAACACTTGACTTATAGTTCTACAGATCTTCTTTTTATCATTTTTATGGAGTTTTGGGTCCAACAAGCTTAATCCTTGTGACCTGGTCGTCCCAAGTCGATTCACCTTCAAATCTAGGTTCTAGAATCAAGTACATGGCATGAGGATGCAAGCTTTATGGCCATGATAGCCCATGCACCCCCCTTTAGACCACATTTTTTAGTCCTTTAAGCATATACTCTCATGCATACACGTAAAGTTCATAACTTTACGTGCTAGATCGGTCTTAGAAGCCCAGATCTACCTTTTGGATGAGTGTTGCACGTCAGAAATCGAGATATAAGGCATGGACAATATCGACTCGGCGAGTTGTTCTTGGGACTCGGCGAGTCCAGAGTTTAAGTCCCCTTTCTGTTGTGGTTCAAAGGAACCTCAGTCGAGTGTTAGCAAGGTTCGGTCAAGTCCATAAGAGTGTTTCGATGTATTAAGATATAGCCATAATCTAGGAATCATGGGACTCGACGAGTGCAAGAACACACTCGGCGAGTCCAAGGCCATCTCCTTACCCGCAAGAACAGACTCGAAGAGTTGTTCATACAACTCAGCGAGTCGTAGATTGGACGTGTTCATATGATGAAGGAGAACTCGACGAGTTGTTCATACAACTCGCAGATGAAGGATGACTCGATGTTAGAAGGAGAACTCGTCGAGTCTTAGCTAAACTCGACGAGTAGAGTCGAGTTGAGGAATAGAAGAAAGGATAGGGAGTCGGCGAGTTGGTGGCCCAACTCGGCGAGTCAGGTCAACTGAAAGTTGACTTTGACCAGGATGTGGACTTTGGCCAAGGGTAAAATAGTAACTTTACCCTAAGATGAGTAATCAGTGTTTGACTAAGTGTTTTTATGGGAATTATAGTCGGGGAGTAACCGGAGCAGCAGTCAGACATTTCCCGCTCAGCATTCCAACAGTCAGCTTTACGAGGTGAGTTTCCTTCCAGTAGGAACGGGTCTACGACCACAATGCCGACCTGTTTAGATGTTAGTAGTTCCGGACTTTGGTCCGAAGTCGGGGATAGCCGATGTAGTTTATATGTTTCCGGACTTCGGTCCGATGCCGGAGTGGTCCCGAGAAGTAGTATATATGCTTGATGTCTTTGTGATTCATGCATGTTTATGTTATGTGCCTCGTGTTCCGGACTTTGGTCCGATGCAGTAGTTATATGGTTATGTTACATGTTTATGTATATGATATGTTCAGTTATTCCGAGTTGCTGTCCGATGCAGTGGGCAAGGCCCAAGTTATTCCGGACTGTGGTCCGATGCAGTGGGCAAGGCCCAAGTTAGTCTGGGCTGCGGTCCGATGCAGTGGGCAAGGCTCAGTATGTGTTTTACGTGTTATTGTGTGGTATATGGTAGTATGGGGGAGCTCACTAAGCTTCGTGCTTACAGTTTTCAATTTTGGTTTCAGGTACTTCCACTAGTAAAGGGAAGGGCTCGGGATGATCGCATGGCACACACCACAGTCTTCAGCCTGGAAGTTTTACTCTGATATTTTGTCATGAGATTTATATATGAGACAAATTTTATGATGTGTTATGATACATGACTTACGATTTTACTCATGATACTGGATGGTTTATGATTTTTATTATGATTGAAAAACAAAATTTTTGGGCCGTATTTTTGGGATGTTTCAAGTTGGTATCAGAGCCTTGGTTTGAGGGATTCGAGCATACTTTCGAGTGTGTCTGAGCTCAAACTAAGGAGATGGTATAGGAAATTTTCAAAAAGAAAATCATTTTTACAAAAAGGATTTTGAAAATAGAAAAGAACTTTGAAAAGAGAAAAGGGTGTGGTGCATGCAATCAGCCAAGCTCAAGTAAGTACTCCCAAATTACCCATACAAGTTTATGTTATGTTTATCAGCTTATGAGAATTGCATGCTAGTTAGGACTAAGGATCTAGGAAGGATGCCTTATGTGCCTGTTATATGTATCTCAGCTCTATGAACTGCATGCCAGTACAGATTAGTCAGTATGATAGCCTGATTAGTATATGTTTGATTATGTGCACTCGATGTCCAAATGCTGCTTGCTTTGTGCTTTTAGGAGTTCTAGCTGTCTTTCACTAACTAGTAAACAAATATGTTACGTTACATATTGCAAGGACTAAATAATTTCAGAAGGTTAGGTCTAACCCTATTTCACAGCTCTTGTCTGAGTCCAACCGTTGTAGGGTAGGATCTCTCATTCGAAGAATTATCTAGTCTGAGTGATATGTAATAGTATTTGCGAGCTAGTTAGGGGAAGAAAGCAGGGACTTCTTACGCAGCTGATGGCGGAGAGTGGGTCGGTGATTACCCTAGGGCAAGCCTAGGATGAGAGTAGCAGAGATCAGTAGCAGTAGAAGGGACTTGGTGGAGTCAAGGCAGTTCTTGAGGAAAGTACGGATAGATGTGGAAGGTAGTATGGGCCCATACTACTGAAAGCAGAGGATTCGTACTCGAATCGAGGAAGCCTGAGACAAGACCAGGAAACTTGTGGTAGATGTGATCCCTCTAGTTATCTCAGTATTTCTGATGATTGTTATTATATGTTACAGAATGGTGGTTTCACGCCCTAGACCAACAGTCGGCAGTTCAGGTGCCGGAGAGGGATCAGGTTCAGGCTCGGGAGCCGAGCATTTGGATGAGCAGACCAGAGAGTTCATCTCTTCCGAGGTCACACGTAGCATACTTGAGCAGACTCCTGTGATCTTTGGATCGGTCAAGGAGGGTATTCTTGAGCTGTTAGATGAGAGGTTGTGTAACACCCAAATTTTCAAAACAATTTTTCTCATTTTATAAAACACATTTCTATTCATCATTGTCATAAAACACCAGCGGTAATCATAAAAACATAATGTATCTCTGTATCATAACAAAAACATGTCCCAAGATCTAATATTAATAAATCCTCTGTGTGTGTACGCATCAGGCCGGCCCCTTTCCACGGTCCTCGTTAGTACCTGAAACACATATCACA